ATCCTGTTTAATTATTTTATTGGAATGTGATATCAAGTAATACGTACAATAAATGGTCGTAATATAATGAATTTGATTCCATCGTCTGACTCATTTTTACAATAAGTGTGATTTAAAATTAAATAATCCATTCGGCATAATCTATTATCAGATAACTTTTTATTTTATATTTACAATCTATAATATTAGTTACAATAAGTAAATTTGAAAAAAAATATAATACAATGACAGGACAATGTGAAAGATGTGGGGGTGTCCAGTAACATTACTTCAACTAGATTTGATTACATAATTATAATTGTTTTGAATTCCTTAAATTTTTTTTTTTTTTTTAGTTATTGAGAAGGTCGCGTGACCAATTTCGTTTTAAGCGACGAGGAGGATTGTTTGGAAGAGTAAGAGAAGAAATATTGGATATCAGTGGATTCGGGTGATTTATAGTGGTAGAGTGGAATTTTTTATAATGAGTGGATGCAAGAACAGGAATAGTAGGAAATTTGCATGCCGTAGGTTATTGCAGGACGAATAAATTGTTTGTATGGGAGGATTTTATTGTTAAGAGAAATGTTTGAACGGAGAAGATGTCTTAAGCTATGGAGTTTTAATTTAAGAGATAGTTTTTTAGTTTTAACGTGAGTAGCCCAGGTTAGTCGCTTGTCAAGATGAATGCCTAAGTATTTAACTGAGTTTTCTATTGGGATTGTATCGTTGTTAAGAGTTAATGGAGGACTAACTTTGAGTCCTAAAGTGAATGATAATAATATATGATGATTTATTTTCATCTACTTTAATTTTCCACTGGTTAAACCAGGTTTCTAGCTCGTTAAGATGTATTTGCAGTTTATTAATGGCTGAATTAATATCTGGGTCGGAAGAAGTTATGCAGGTGTCACCTGCAAAAGTGGCTAAGTGATGTTTGAATGAGGTATGTCGGCAGTAAATAGATTATAAAGGGTAGGAGCGAGAATGCTACCTTGTGGAACACCAGCTTTTATAGGAAAAGTATTTGAAAGCTCACCATCGCATCGCACTTGGAAAGTACGGTGTGAGAGGAAAGATTTTAAGGTACGATATAGAGGAGTGGGAAGGAAACGAATTTTGTAGAGCAGGCCTGTGTGCCATACACGATCAAACGCCTGTGCTATATCAAGGAATACGGCTGAACAAAAATATTTTTTTCCTAGAGAAGAAGCAATGTTGTCTACAATTCTGTGTACTTGGTGAAGGGCTGAATGATTGTTTCTAAAACCAAATTGGGTATCTGGAATAATATTTTTTTCGGTTATAATTGGATAGATTCTTTTGATTATGATTTTTTCAAGGATTTTAGAGAAGGAGGGGATTAGGCTAATGGGACCTGGGACCGAGACTGAGACCCTTGAATAAGAGGAAGACATAATAACCGAAAAAAGTGCCACAAAAACGCTGTTGTCTGATAAGAGATAGGAGATTAGAGATTAGAGATGAGGAATAGGGATGAAGGTGGGGATGGGGATGTGGGTAGGAATGGGGGAATGACAATTGTTTTATTCAGCCCTGGCAGACTAAATCTCGGGCAACGCCGGGTCCGGACATTTTAAATAAAAATAAAAATTAAGTTCATAAAAAATTTAATAGCACAACCAAGTGGTTGCCACTTGATTGTATTTACTTGTTGTGAATATTGAAGATATTAAATTCTTTTTTCGTGTATACGAATTATTCCACAAACAACACAATTTAAAAAGCAATGACTTAAATTTTAATTTGTTAAAACTTTCATAATAAATATACAATAAACATTATTCGTACATGTAGTTTGTAGCTAATAGTATAGGCGTATATTAGTTCTAAACGGAATTCATACCAATTTGCTTAACAAATTGTTCATTTAAAATTGATTGAAGATAAATTTATAGTCCAGCAATAACATATTCCATTCTCTCAAGAAATGTAGTCAAACTTTTATTTCATTAAGGAAACCCCGAATATAGGAAGAATGCACACTTTGACCGTTGTAAATTTCCTCTTAGAATTTTCAATATTTTTCATTTCTCAAAATTCCAACTGCTCCATAAATAATATTTCAAAACTTGTTATCGACGTCTCTACTTATTTTAAACCGGATGTTTATTATATAATAAGTATACAAGAAAACCTATTATATTAAGTAGTATATTTTTTTTTTTTTGTATCTGCAAAAATTTAAATAAGGAAATTTATTTTTTAACGTGGATAGAACTCTTTCGCCGGGGGTCCAAATTTAGGGTTCCAATTCGATTATGTGTTAGGTTTTATTTTTTGCTTTAAATTTTCGTTTGTAAGAACAACACACAATAACATTTTGTTTTCGTCATATTTACCTTATATCGGTATGAAATAATGCCATACGAGTATGAAAATACTAAATAATGGCCTATGTACCCAAATTTTTTTGTACTATGACACGCGTTACAACACACAGCAAGTTATTTTTCATGGTTTTCAGGTCTTATTGTTCTAGTTTCGTATCGATGTGAACGACAAATGAGTAATAGCCCACGCAAAACATTTCTCTGCATCAATACACAACCACATAAACAATTTACAAATTTGGAATACAGCACACAATAATGTGAAATCAAAATGCTTTTCAATTAAAAATATGTAGGACTAGTTTTTGTACCATGTATTGTTCATTAATGAATCGTATTTAAGCCAATCCAATACCAATATGGTTGGCCGTCCAAGATATTTTTTCCCCAACTCGATTTTGATAAAGGCAGAAAAATAATGGGAGGAATCAAAAGTAGAAATTAGTAGTTGGAATGGACTAGATAAAAAAATACAACTTTACTTTACTTTGTATTACATTTTATTTTCGTGTTTTTGTTCAAACCTTTTTTTCAATACGGTTTTTTTTTGTCACGAGGGAAAAATATATTTGTGTGTAGTACTTGTTTTCTAAAGTTTTCTATGTTGCTACTGTCTTTTATCCCGGCGGCCAGCTGAACAAACCCTGGTCAGCCTAAAGCTTCAAGTTCAGCTGCACCTAAAGAGCAAACTGAAGTCGTACTGAATGATTAGTTCTATTATAATTCCTATTATTTTAAAACTACATATTAGGTTTTGTCAATATTTTTCTGAATTATTTATAATATATAAAGGATAATGTTTTCCAAAAATAGCTATTCTTATCTAGGAAACTATAATTATTTTTGCTTAAAGACTTACAAAAAAAAGTCCTGTTATGAATATTTTTAACCACGATAAGTTTTTAACATTGTTTTTGTTAAAAAATTGTTTTGACATTATTGCACTCTACCAAGAACTTTATACATTTTACTATTTTGCAAATTACTAAATATTAAGTTCTATCACTCTTTGATTTCATAATTAATTATTTGTATTTGTAAATCCGAACGTAATAAATAATGTATTCTAAATAAAATAAAATCGTTTTTACTTTTTATAATCATGAAATAATGTCTATAATAATTTTTATATAATTTATTAATTTGGATTTAAATAAAACATTTTGTTTTGTTTTTTTAGTTAGATTTTACATGAATTTTGATCGTTTGTATAATCATTTTGGTACACTGTCGCCAAATATTGAAATTCAAGACTGCGCTAAAAAAAAGAATGACAATAGGTATAGACATCATTAAGTACAACGTCATGTACTTAAAGGAATTTAGTCATCTAAGTAACTCATTTGAATTTAGTATAGAAGAAGTGGGGTTAGTTGTTACAATTTTCATTTATTTTATTTTTCCTAAATTATATTCTGAATGAATGTTGGTATATTTTAAAAAGTAACTTCTTAGCTAGGTACATTTGAAAATTCAATAAATACAAATTCTTTAAAAATACCCTTTCTTACAAACATTAGATGTTACAAACATATTAATGATTTAATATAATATTATGATTAAAATTCGTATCATTCTTTGTTCTACTTTAATCCATAATTTTTTTTTTTTTGGCGCAAGTTTATTTAAGTTTTCAACAAAAAAACTATTTTCACAAATTATTTGAAGTAAAAAAAATAATATATTGATTTTATAAGCTAATAATACAGTCTTCAGCAAAAAAATCCATATTAGACAAAGATTAACTTTATTAAGCATTATATTTGACCATTCGCGACAAATTAGTGTATTTAAGCATTGTGAAAAAAATTAATGTGTTAACATAAAACTTTGTCACAAAATCAATTTATTTATTTTTATTTTTGATATGCTAAATTATAAAAAAAAGACCAGTGTTATCATTCACTACACCAAATATTATTTATGACATGTAAAATATTAAAACAATAAATGTTTTCCATTTTGTAGCGGAATTCGTTTATAGGAAAAACTATAGTCCGTTAAAAAAAAATAATAATAATGATTTTTTTTTTTAGATAACATATTATAAAGAAATCATAATTTAAAACAATATGTTGATTTGTATATTATAATACACATTAATGCGTTGTAAAATTATTTTTAAAAAATGTACTGCTATGTTTGTATTTAACAATTGGCTGAACTAAAATCAATTAAAATTACCGTTTTTTAAGAATGTCTAAAATATCATCTCAATAATAATTTATTATTTTAGATTAGTAGTGTGTTTAAAAGACTATCAACTGAATTTTTTCTCTATAACCTGAACGCAATGTACATACACATAAACTAAATGACGGTACTTTAAAATGTGATTTTACATAATAGTATAACTATTTGAAGCCCTTATGGCAATAGAATACAATCATACAAAATAAACAAACATAAAAGAATGGATAATAAGTATTTGAGTAAAAACAATAACAAAGTACAGTATAAACAAACCAAAAGAAGAATAAGAACAAAATACTACAATTCAAATTTAATAATAACTAATAAGTAGTTGAAAGAAATACATATTAATTTATAGAGTAGATGATTAAAAATGTTAATTTATTACACGTTAAAAAAATACAATTCATCGGTTCATAGAAGTTATCAGAGTTGAGCGTGGTGATGAATATTTAAAAGAGTATGGTTTAATATTTTAAAAAAATTACTGTGAATTATTTCAATTAAAACATTGTTATTGTGTTTTAGATGTATAATATTGTTTATCTGAACGAATTTATTTTAGCTACAAATTATAAGTATAACTTATGCAAATAAATTTATTCAATTTATATTTAATACAATAAATAATTTTACTAACACGTACTACGCATGGTACATAATAATTTGTATCTAAAATATCACACCGAATAAGAAATTTAATTGACATTAACAAATATGGCTAAATTAGTATACTAAAAATAGATGTATGTGGTATTCGAAGAAAATAAATGTTTTGTTCTGCATACATTTTACTGTTGATACTTCATTCAGCAATCACATAAACCTCAGCTTGATGTAACCTGTAAAATAAAACAAACAAAATAATTGTTTCCTAAAATAACCAATTTGTTTCACTGCCAATCGTAAAAAAAAAAGTTTTGGTAACATAGTTTCGGCGTTACGCCATCATCAAGGTTGCATAGAATTACATTGAACAAATGATTAAAAATAACACATATCAAATTCACATAAAAACATATTAATGTAAACTGCACCTATTAAAGCTTTTAATAATTCAAAATAATAAGTATAAGTGTGTAATAAATTTGTGTTATCAATGATGTTATCTTTTAAATTGTGTAAGAAAGTAAATAGAGGGTTATTTTGATAATCTGTTAGTACCTACATTGTTAGAATAGTATTAAATCCATTATTTTTTACTTCTTTATAAATGTTATAGTTTTCTAAAACTATAACATTATAACAATACTTTAAATATTTATTTATTTTTTTATATAAAAGAAAAATTTCTATTTTAAAATGAACTACACTCTATATATATATATATATATATATATATATATATATATATATATATATATATATATTAAAATACATTAAAACAGTTTCTTTATGTTAGATCATCTCAACAGGTGCAAAAAAAATAATAAAATTGCAACACTACTTGGGCAACTATAACATTTTTTTTTAAAATTGGTCAATCGGCCCAACTTAAACCGCTCTCCTTATTAAAATCCTTTCCGGAAACACATAACCTTTTTTTGTGCGTGCAGTAAGGTCATTAGTAAGAAAAAAAAATACTTTTCTTTAGCACTTCTTAAATTTTGTTTTCAAATACAGACAATGCATGCTTGGCTAATGTAGTCAACAAATTGTTCTTTGACTTTAATGTAGATTCAACACCAGCAGTAAGAGTAAAAGTAAAATGATGAAACAGATTCCTGATATCAAACGCACTAATAAAAGCTAGGAATAGATTAAAATATATAGATAGTCTGTGGCCATATAAAATATAAAATACGCCAACCGATATGATAATGAAATGAACAAAAAATAATATGGCGTTGTCAATCTACATATTATGTTAATTATATGAGTAATTTTCACTTATATATTATTCAAGTTTACAAATATTTACCATAGTTCGACAACGCTATGTTGGTAAACAAAAGACTTTGCTCATCTCAATAACATTAGAAATCCACAATTTTTAATTTCCCGTAATGATGTGGTGTGGATAATAACTGTAGTACCTACAAAAAAAAAAATATTAATATTAATGTTGTAATATGATAAATATTGCAAAATTATAACATCTCTGTACACATTTCTATGTTTGATAAATTGACATAGTTAATTTAGGCGAGATTTGCTGTTTGAAACGTTCTTTTAAACTTTGACAAGAGCAGCCTGGCAGAAAGTTCTGTTATTGTAATGAAATCTACATTGATTTAAAACCAATACTTCGTAAAAGTTGCTGTTTCCGGATGTAAGTCTACTAATCTAACCTGCTGCAGAGGTGATGCTCGATTGGTCGATATATATGATAACCAACCTAACCGGTACAACATGTGTCTGAAAAAAAATATATAAATATAATAACAATAACATACCCAAAAATGTATAATTAAACGAATGCTTGGTTCAGTTTTAATTCGGCACTTTCTATTACTTAGACAGATAAAGCTGTACTCGTAGATGCCAAATCGTTATCATGACCTATCAAACGTCTTTAAAATCACTCTAGAGCTGCAATTGTCTTCAGGTTTTTTAGTGGACATGTTGATCAACAATTTATCTTCAAGGTGTGCAACCCTTTAAATGAGCGCATCGTTGATGGCGTTATCTTTTACTCTGATACTTGAAAAAAAAATTTGGTCAACATTAATACTTAATTAATCATGATGATGCAAGCAAATACCTGAAGCGTTTTTATCGTTTCCTTCTGTTGGTGAACAATAATTATTGTCAACACCTCTAATTCATCGAGAACGACTTGCTCCTTCGTGCTTATTTGTACGGATACCACATATCCACGTCGCGTGTTTTTTTCTATGGTCACATAACGTGGTGGTGTAGTTTTTATGCATCAGCATGGTAATCGGCTTTAGTCCACTTTGTACACGTGTGTGAAGTTAGCCATAAACGAGCCAGCAATATTTGATAACAGTGAGTGTCATGGCGTTGGTGTATGTTGTGTTGCCAATACTCTAATTATTCTAAGGGGCAGTCCATATATCCCCATATACCGACGATTATTATTATACGAAATCGACTTAATCAATTAAAATATATACTAATTATCGAAAAAACAGTAAGAGTATATTATTTAACTTATAAAAAATGGCATTTAAGGGTTTTGCGGCCACCATGAGCTGCCAAACCCGTGCACAAAATGATTGCCAACCGACCGAAACCGACGGCAGTTATGTCAATTTTTGACTATGTTCCGGAAGAGTCGCCCTCAATTTGATTATACCAATCGAAAGCTTACTAAAATGTCTAAAAAATCGTCTCTATGAAAAAAGTTGGCACCTGTGAAGACAAAAATTTGTTAGTGAAAGAGGTTATGTACAAATAATAAATATTAAGCGATTTTGTACAAATATAAAAAGATATTATGGTTACTGGTCACTCGATTATTCCGTAGTAGCTGATGCATTTTAAATACTAGAGTATCATCCGAGATAACCAGCTAATGACTAGCTCCAGCTAAATTAGGTTAAAGTGTAAAGTCCGTTATCCGTAACAGTCTACCTTTCGTCTAATAATGGGTGGTTATTTATTATATCTGATTATGATACGGAATGCGCTAACATCAAATTATTATTATATTTTATGTGATGACCGACGTAATAAAACTACTTGTCTTTGTTGAACCGAATGAAATTATTAGTCCCAGATTTAAACTCCATATTTTGTCCATAACGATTTAGGCAAGAATTATTTGTTTCTACGTCTGATTCCTCCTCTTATTTTTCTACATTTATTAAAGGCCTATGCAAATGCAATTGACAGGTTATTGTTTATATTTCCACAAAATATAAATCCTAATTAATCTTAATAATTTTTATACAAAGATACGGTGTTAGTGGTTACATAACCGAAATGGAGTTCTAATGTCGTGTGACTAAATAAAATAGTGTAGAATATTATAATAAATATATATTATAAAAATATCCAGGCTGGCCAACCATATTGGTATTGGGTTTGGCTTAAATACGAAATTCTGACAAGCTTCGGCGGTGTATACGAAACAATCCCCGACCCTTACTAGAAACAACCAACAACAGCAAAAACTTCAACTTCAAAAATTAAAATTGTTGAATATGTCGTCATTAAAATTAAACCGATCATATAAATCTAAATTATATTATATTATATCATTAAGTTGATCACATATTATTGGACAACATAAGAATGGGAACAATATCATATTTTTTTTAAATTTTCTAGTTTGTACACTTATTTGAAGAGTAATATCTCTAGTCTCTACACATGTATTTGTTAATTAATGTCTACATTGTTAGGCTAAATTGATCAGAAAAAGCCCAATTTCACATTAAGCAACCTGAATTTTGCATCGGTAGGCAACTTAACTTTCACAGTGTACAAAAATATAGCGTATACCTACGTGCCATGTAAACGGCACGTGCAGCCAAGATAATTTGTGCTTTGATACTAAAAAAATATATATTTTCTCGTAACCCACTTGCAATGTCAGAAAACACAATTTGATGTTACTTGTGTAATATATTTATTGTTAAAACAAAGTAAGAATATTTTGAGTATATTATTAGTGATATTCTAGATTTTTCTGGGAAACTTTTTCTACCTAATTTTATAACGCTGAAAAAGAATAAGTCGATTTCAAAAAGCTTTTCGTATGAAAAAAATAAGGTCGGGTCGAAAGAATGCAATGTTAAAATGATCGATGTGTATTCAGATGCCAAAATAAAATAGCAAAAACAGGTCAACGTTTTACCATTGAAATTTGATGTACGTGTTCTGTTTGGCTGTTGACGCACAAAAAAGCACAAATCCACACATTTTAAGTATTATCTGTATTATACAGGCATGCTGTCCATTCAACACACGTTATAATTTTAGCATTTCACCATAGTTAACCGGATCGTTGGGTTCTCGTCGATTAATTTTCAATGTCCGTGGTGAAGTGTCGTGATATAAATTTCAGCATAATAATGCTAGCTCCACGCTTTTTCACCTGTTTTATATTGCTCGTATTATGTAATAATAATATTGTATACAACGGTGCAATGGCAGCAGACGGCGTGTCACAGATGAACCGAATTCTGGGGCATCCGGGATGGCGCGATTTTGAACATCTAAAAATCCTGGTCGATAAAAACGAGTATGGAGTGGAACATTTACTTAGGGGCGATGCCGATGGACAGAATTTAGTGACAACCAGAAACATACACCAGAAAGTCCGGCAAGCCCACCAATTTCTCAATTGCGATTACGCTATAATGTTTCTAACTTACACTGAATACATAAATAGCATAGGGCATCATTGTAATCGGATGTCTCACTGGGATACAATCCCTTCCGAAAATAAACAAGAATGTCTGGAGAAGTTCAGGCAGTTATGCCACGGAAAACAATTAGTATCGCGCATGCAAAGTGCGATTGCCTATGTGCAATCGTTGTCTCCAGAAACGACATTAATCAATGACTTTTACGAAATCCTCACAAGCTTCGGATGTGCTTACGAGATGACACCCGACCCTTACTGGAAACGAACAACAACTAAAACAACAAAACCGATGCTATTTTGCTGTGTTTCCACGTCGACAAATGACGATGATATTTCCGCACCTACGACTGAAGGTACGTTAAAACTTATAAACAACCTAAGAAGAGAGACTAAGAATTTTTTCAAAAAACACTGTGCTCCGGAATCGCGTGTATTAAAAAGCCATAAAATAGATAGTTCCACGTTTAGCTGGTCCCTCGTGTTAAAAGACGAATGGTATTTCTCAAATCATCCGCTTTACGACGTGTCCATCCCCATCCTCACTGTGAACAAAATGTACACTAATGTCAATAACTTAACATACGATTTTATAGTAACTGATTACACACGACTGGGGTTTGCGTTTAATACAATATCAAACACTACTGCTTTGAACGAAAATCCCGATACGGAAAACAGAGTTCACCAAACGAACGAGATACTGATACAAATTGACCGGTCGAAACCTATGTGCCACTTTAATTTTGTGATGGATAGCGGACAATACAGTGTAGAAGATCTGCTGGCGACCGATGTCATAGGGCAAATAGTTAACGAGACAAATGTAGACACTAAAGTGCGTCAAGTCTACGGATTTCTGAGCTGTTATTACGTTGAGCTATTAAAGCAGTTATTGCCTTACAAAAAATCTACAGCACAATTATTTTTTCAGGCAGACCCTGCTGACAAATATGAGGTTTTTATATCAATCGTGAAAATAGTCAAGATGATCGATCCAGTAATATTGCGCATAAGAAGCACCCTTTTGTATTTTCTACGATTATCTCCTCAGACAATTTTTAGCAAGGATGTTTTGAAAATCATTTACCTCCTCATGAACTCCATTGAATATATAAATACAATAATCAACAATCAACGGGATCTTGTTAATGATATGTCACTTGATAGAATGGAAACTTTCCAAAGCAATTTGTCAGAAGTTGAAAAAGCATTAAACACATACACTGAGATGTCTTGCGTGGTTCAGTCAGATACGGATATAAGTAATGAGGCTCCCCAAAATTTGCAGGAGATAGAGAGTCAACTCGATGAAAAAATAAACCATATTATACAAACTGTGTTTCCAAATTTGGGTTTAAATGAATCCCACTTTGGAGCACTATTGTTAGAGTGAGTCGGGAATTTCAGATTAATACAATGTCTGTAATTTTAATACATCTCAGTGTAATCTTATTATTTTATTAAACACTATTATATTTTCACATTCAAATTAACAATAAGGTATTTGTGTTATATTTCCAGTTATGTATAAGTTTATAATTGGTAAATTTCTTATGAAATAGCTAACTACACTTGCTTTTTAATTATTTCTTTATGTATAATGTGGAATTTTGCAAGCCTTATTGTGTCCTTAACTGTTCTTGGAGTATTTAATTTTGAAATGTATGTACTTAAAAATATTTTACAATAAAACACGTTTTCGAATCTTAGTTTGGTATAAAATATTGTTTATATAGGTCATCTAATTATTTTGATTTAAAGTGTTTTCAGGAGCATTAAATATATTTGAAGACCAATCCAATTGTAGGGATAAATATAACCTATTGTTTTTAAATATTTTAATCTAAACGTTGGTATATGTTATTTAAATCAGGTAATTATTTATTGTTATAAATTTTATTGTACATTATATAGATTATATTATAAGCTGTTAACGTTGTGTTAATCAATCATTGAAGAAAGTCGTTTTTTTTAACTAATAGATTTTCGAGACGCCTGACTTTTGCAAAGGTAGGCTACTAAAATTAGTGCACATATATGTTGTGTATTTATTGTTAAATGTAAAACAAAGTAAGAACATTTCGAGTGAATGATCATACTAATATGCTGTATTTCTATTTACTAAAATAATGATATTTCTAAAACCTTAGATACTCAGATATTAAAATAATAATTAACAAAAAAAAAATCTTACAAACGTTTATACTTAGTAAATGCAAGATTGTATGTAAATTATAATTTGTCTTTTTTTAAACGCTTAGATTTTAAACCGTTGTACTTTCTTAAGTAATTTCTTAATTAAATTCATACTTTTGTACCTACTGTAGTACCGCCCAGGGCTATAATATAAGAATATATGTTGAAATAGCACTTAGCAAAGTAATAATTTCACGGTACATGAATTCGTGTACTATATTATTATCAGTCAATAATTAGAGTCACCTGTATCATTAGTGGTTTTTGTCAATTGTAATATTAGGTGTTGGAATATTAACAACTGTAACAATTATCTATATTACATTTTTCATCGATACAACGATTACTTATGTAAGTAACGCATCCTTGTCTTCTATGTAAGCAAGCAGTTAAGGTTGATTGAAGATTTTTCACCAGTATGTTTGGAATGAATACTAGAATTATGTAGGTGAATTAATAGAGATAGTGGATTAGAGATAATAGATTGCAGGACATATCCATTTATTCTTTCGAGTGACAGAAGGACATTAAAATTGAGAATATAATCTAAAAAGTTGGCCTTTTCTAATATTTGTTTTCAGAAAACTGAGATAATTTTACATGAAAGTTCAACTCCGGGTTTTCCATAAAAACAAAAAAACAAAACAGGTGAATTTCATAGTAATACAAATAGTTGAAATAATTTTGTGTAAAAATAAGACAATTTTTTGTTCGAGTACTGACAAATGTTTATTTGTTTTTAAAACTATTATAGGATTTCTGATTACGGTTAAAATTAGAACGAGTCGCAGGTGCAGAGGCCTCTTAGACAAGAGAGAGAGAGAGAGAGAGAGAGAGAGAGAGAGTAAAATCAATTTATAACAGTTAATGGTATAGCTTAGTACATCACTCGGTTAATTATAGCTGTTAACGACGTTGCCGATTTGTGATGTTTTCAGTAGATATATTAAAACAACCTAAAATGTAATCACAAAATAACATATTTTATAGCTGTAAATTTGCCAAAAATTATTTAAAAACATTTCCAGTGTAAAATACTCAAAATATTATTTGTTTTTGTTTTTAATCACACAAATATTAAGTACAAACAAACCAGAATTTCTAATTTTTATTCTTGCCATTAGCTTGTGTAGGCGTGTACGGACTGAACTCAGCTACATCAAAATCGGCATAAGTCATATCACTGGTGTCCGGTGCCAGAGGGGTTTTCAAGTATTCTTCGAGCTTTGCCCGTTTTTGTTCTTCGGTCATGTTTTTGTAGTTCTCATAGATTTTGCTCATGTGAGGGTTTATTGTAGAATTAGTAGATGCGTTGGAATTGTTTTCTCGATCCATTGCAAAGAATATTATGTATTTTTCCTATTCAATTGTTTTGCACGAATTTGGATTTCTAAAACAAAAAAAATTACACAATATCTAATTTGAAGAAAAACTACATTTCTACAATTAAATAAACCTCAAACTACCGAACGTTAGATTTCTATTTACATACAAATTAAAAACGGTTTCGCGTTGAATAAATCGTTTGTGTCCAATGTTACTATTACTTGTTACTTACTAATAAATACTCATTGTAATTCATACTCAGGATGTTGATTTTACATCAGAAGTACATCCATAGTTGTGTTTAAATGAAACGTAAGTATTAAGCAGTTGCAAAAATACATTCATGCATGTAGTGTGTAAAATAAACAAGACAGAACAGCGGGCTAAGTAGGCGTGTTAAACGCATTAATTACATATTCAATGTACATAAATACTCACACGTTACTGAATAATGATTATGTTGGTGTTGTCTGTTGCCCATAAACAAACCCGTTGAGTACCTACTGCTCCAATATACTTGACTACGTTATTTTCGATGGCCTGAAAATTGCGCGTTTACAGCCACACCACTAGTTGTTGTGTTAAACTGTGGTCCTGTTATAGCGTTAGCTGTCAATGGAAGCTCACTGTTGCAACAGTGTTATAGAATATCAAGTAGGGATACCGTGTAATCGCTTGTCCTTGAATATTTTACATGTACCATATGCCTACATAATAATTATTATTAAGTAGGGCCACGAATTCAAATGGTAAACGTACGTCGTTGGCAATATTACAATGTAGCCGCTATAGTCGACTTTAGCTCAATAATACAGTTCCGACGGACAATAGGTCGGATAAAACGCATGATAATTAAAAAAAAGTTAACAATGGAAAATTGTAAAACAAAATATTATGTGTGTCCAAGCCAACGACGACCCAAGCGGTTGAGGCATTTGTGTTTACATTTTACACCGGCGACTTTTAACTGGAAAGTGGCATTCAAAATTTGCATTTAAAAAAAACAACAAAAGTTTGTACTTAAAAAAAAAACATTTAATTGAATGTATTGTAGGTTTTCGCGGTAAAATACTTAAAATTACATTAAATGTTTAAAAATTAGTGTCAACTGTTTTTTACATAATATACAAAACGTTTTTTTTTTTTGTATATGAAAATAAAATGAAAAATCCCAAAAATACAAATTATTGTAATTATTAAGAAAATTCGAAATTTTGTTTTTTGATTTCCTAAAACTTATTTTGATAAAAACCTCAACCAAGAAAAACACAAAATGTTTCAATTTGGGTGCCCAACTAATTTATTTTATTCGTTTTAAGTTTTATTCAACATCAATTAAGAATTAACTTTTATTTAACTTTCTGTTTCAGTTAACAGTTTGATCTATTTTTTTTATTTTTTTATTATGTTAAATTCTGTAGTAGATTTAATTATTTTTTAGCTTCGATGCTATAGATAAAAAGGTATTTTAAGATTTTTTTTTTTTTATTATGTGACCGCCTAAGTTTTTTAAAGTAGAGTTTAATTCTCAATCTCGAGCCCATTAAATGGAACTTTTGGGCCTTTTTTTGGAATCTTTTGCAAAGTAATATCGTAAAGCTTCTCGGATGTAAAACCAAAAAACTAGAGCAGGGAAGAAGACAGAGGTAAATGTAGAGGATACTATAGCATAACTTTTCTTGGGAAAAAAAAGACATTAGAGCAAAAGTGGTACTGACTCTTAATCCAGTAATCCAGACTCTTCAACACGCACACACAGGCATATTAGACTTAGAGTAAGACATAGACGGTTATGTTAGGTTAGGTTAGGTTAGGTTAGGTTAGGTTAGGTTAGGTTGGGTTAGGTTAGGTTAAGTAAGGTTAGGTTAGGACGGCGAGGTGAGTGTGTGGGCAGATTACAACTAATACGCTTTGCCCCTTGGGAAAGTAGTAAGTAAGAACACTGTAAAGTAACATAACAACGGTTTTTAATAGAACAAAAACAAAAAAAAAACATAAATATAGACTACTAAGTGTCCGTTACAAGATCAAGACAGTGCGTTTAAGTATGTTGTTTGTTCAGTCTTGTTGGTAGCGACCGTAGTGATGAGGGTGGACGGCATGGTGTTCGTGGTGAACGTGTGCGTTGAAACCGTTGTGCTTGTCCGCCGTGTAAGTCACTTTCCGGACACGACCGTCCGGTTCGACCAGACTGTATTCGCCATGGACCACGTCGCCTTCACGTTCCTCGGCCTGATGCTTAACGTCACCGGTGTGCGGGTCTTTGACTCCATACTTGAACTTATAATGCGGCGGGGCCTGAGTCAGAGAAAAAAAATTATAAACCAACCTTCATCGGTGTCCTAGCCATATTCAAACACCAAGGATTTTAAAACTCATTTTTTTTTTTTCGTAAGAGGTTTAATATTACTAATAGCAAACGCCCCGTGGAACTGAACCAATGTAAATGTACCTTCTTTGGCTGAGCTGTTGTGAGTAATGGTGTACTTACATAGTAGTCGTGTCCGTCGTGATGAGTGTTGTGAAACTTAGGATGATAGGCTGCGTACGAAGTGGCGTCGTGTTCGGCCAGAGTCAGCGCCACGAGAGCGGTTAAAGCGACGAAAACCAGCTGAAAATAATAATGAAAAATACTTCATTAAGTTAGTAGTGGCAATCAACACACATTTAAGTAAAACGGCAAGTGAAGTACAGAGTTTCTTGCGCAACGTAATTATGGGAATTTTAATTTGTACAATGTAGAAACGCATACAAGAATAGCCAAACAATTATTTACAACCATTTTCTATTGAAAATTAAAAAAAAAAAAAATAGTAAACCAAGTACCGTATACATATTTTGTTTCTACAGAAAGTACAATTAAAGCGTTAATGTAAAATTAATTGGTTAAGTTAATCGAAATTAGATATTATTTTTATGAGAGAAAAATCAATAATTTTATATTTATGCAAAGTACTGCAAGTGCAGATATGTTACTTAACTATAACCGGTATACCAAATAGGTACTCACTTGGAATGTGTTGGCCATTGTTTTTTTGACAGTTTTTTTATCTCGCTGAACTGAATGCAAACCGTATCCTGGTCTGGACGGAACTGATGATCGTGGAAAGGTCCGACCAGTGTATTTATAGTGGATCGACAAGTCCTCCAAGACTTGTGTCGGATATTTTCTCAACGCTTTTCACTGCAGTTTTAACCTCTGCGGTCCATTTCCGCTCCGGCAGTTTGGTCTGACGAAAAATCAGAAGGTTAGTCGGTGGTTTTCCATCACATACTCTACCGAGCACGTCTGATTTTTAATTTTTTTTTGCAATATTTGGACTTAGCCCGTCATAATATGGCCCACGACATAAAGTGAAAGATCATGTGATGTGTTTTTCTGGGACAACGTTTTCTGTATTTTGCAAGGTCTCTCGAGGTCGGCGGACAAGAGATTAGCAATTAATTATTATTAACAAGTAGTCGCCTCATTGGCTGTGTTTGGTTTACATTAATAATGGTTAAAATATTTCTGATACAAAAGAGAATTATTTCACTGTGAGAAACATCATATATATATATATAAATATTTTAAATAAACTATCAATTAAAAAATAATCATTATAACCGTTCTTTAAGTACATTTTTATAAGTATATCTATATATATATACTTAACTACAACTACAGAAAATTTAAACTTAGTACCAAAAATATATAACAATTTAATTTAAATCAATTGAAAGAATATAAAATTTGAACTATTAAATGTTTAATAACTTTTCTTCAGCAACATTTAATTAATTCAATTCAAGTATACTGAAGTATATTCATAATAAAATCTATGTCAACATTTTTGTTTCACTAATTTTTATAATTATTTTAATTGGCCGTATTTAACTTATTATATATAGTTGACATATTTTTAATTAAATATGACACAATGCATTGGTGTAACCCTGGCCGTCACGCCTTTTTGATTTTTATGGGAATTTCAAATAAACGGCCCAGAACGTACAATAGGTAAACCATACTTCTATTATTATTATTGTACACCAGCCGAGTAAAAAAATTATGGTAATTGACAAAACTTTTGTCAAATTCATTACTGACGCGCTTCAAATTAATCACATCTACTACTATGAAAATATTAAAAATAACAAATTTAGAAACCAAGGCCGTATATTATAAAGTGCATATTAACAAATTTATTTTAGGCATCTATAATTGGCGATATAATATGTTATTTCTAAGCTGAAATTTTAAATTTATTTCATTGCCTATAGTTTTAACAGTGTTCAAAAAATGAACGCGTTCACATTCTTTAGAAAAATAAACACATTCATATAAATTATCTTCTATATATATATATAAACTAATGTACGTCTGTCTGTCCTTTATGCATTACTACACCATAGGATATATAAGGATTATTAAAACTAATACCCCAAATTCAGACTCTCGCAGTGGTCATTTTTTATGGTCACTGTTTTATGGTTCAGTTTTTTTTTAAAAATATCAATTGACGTGGAGAATATCCTTCTTGGATATTTTTTTATTAAGATAAGTCAATTCAAGTATAAATCATGGATGAAAAAATGGCATGATTAATGGCAAGGTTATTTAAAAAAAAACATGTGCGTGTCGTTTATTGTAAAGCTCTATAAATTATAAAATGTCTATAGAAAAATAGCATTATCACATTTCCCTATTACTGTAAAAAAAATACAATGGATTCGCAAAACAAATAATCCGCTTCTAGTAGTTACATTTTACAGTTAAATTTGTAAAAAAAAAAATAAATAAATAAATAAATAACAATGTTATTTTTTTTATAACGCTAAAATCGTTATTCCTAAAAATTAATGCAGTTTGTTCCTCAGAAAAGAAATGAAATACTTAGCGGTTTAAAGAGACTTAATCAGGTTATACTTACATCATAATTGGAAGGAGACCAATTTTGAAAAATAATTTATGTGATTTTTTAAATATTTATTAATTATATAATATAACATATTGCAATTTTTAAGTGTATCGCAAGTCAAAATCTAAGGGGTTTTGTGTAGGCAACTTAATCAGCATCGCCAATTAAACAACACCATTCAATAACAAAGTAAATATACCTATTATAAGCTACTAAGTATATTTAATCTAGTTTTAATCTATATTTTAAAAACTAAAAAATACATTTTCTTAGCACATAATGCAACATATATTGCATTAAGTATTAAAAAAACAATTATTATACAAGTTAAGTGATGATGTTTTACAAAAATAATTTAAATCAATTTCTTATAAGCACAAGCAAACTACTTTCTTTTTGTCGATAGAACATTAACGTTATCCACTTCTTCAATTATACAAATTTCTCATTGAAAAACTAGTTTCAACACCAGCACATTGATGCTTAAAAAAGTTATTGGTAATCAATATAATTTTAAACGTAAGCTTTAACTAAAAAAGACAAGTAAATTACAAAAAATATTTTACAAATACAATTACAAATGTAATTTCTTCTGTATACAAATTTAATGTATTCTTTTCTTGGTCTTCTGAATCATCCTGGTCTCATTTTTTTAAAACATTTTAATTTTTTATCCATCCCTACTGTTGGAAATTAAAAAAAACCGAAATGAGTTACCACACATTGCATTGCTGGCCTTTGTTCTTGTACAATGCAAGTTTGAAATTGTGTAACGACTTTACATTTAGTTTACAGTTACCTAATTAAGTGCAAATTCCTCCTTGTACACACTCGCATCTCATTAAGGAAGTACCTAGGATAACAGCTGGACATATAAATTTGAAAAACTGAATGTAATTGTCCAAGTAAGCCTGTTCTAATGTATTTTTTCATTTTTTTTAAAAATGTTATCAATTATTTATTACTCATATCCAAAAACAATTACCAATTCAACACAAAGCGTGTCGTTTTGTTTTCAAATTTCCATTATGTAAGTTTAAAAAAACCTGTTTGTTTGGTGGCCAACCGCCTGGCAACGAACCAACGGAATCCATATAGTGTCCAAAAACAGTTTTATTAAGTATAATAATACAGCCAAGTGCTGTTTTTCCGTACGAATCAACTGACTTAAACTTTAACACACACCTACAGCTTGATGGAACTTGACAAATTTGTAATTACCACAGTTGTTGTGGTTAAAACTAAAAAATAAAAACCATTGTATATTTTAAGCAAAAAAATACCTTTTATTTAATACAAAATAATATGATGAGCAATTGCGAAAGAAAAATATGTACAAAACGGAATACAAAAGTGCGCGAAGACATAAATAAGTATAAATTCGAAGATCTATGTTTGGCTTTACAATACAGCAACACACGAGGAATATTAAACCGGGTTACAATCCTCAAACGTTTGTAAAATCAGAACAAAAAAAAGTTAAAATACAACAGCGAACACACACACACACAAAAAAAAAGAAATACACGAGTACAAGTATAAAATGATAAAGTAAGAAGTATAGCGAACAATTTTGATTAAAATGAAAAAACATTAACATTTTTTTTTTAAAATTAGTATAACATCATGATGGTGAGTATTATTATATTTTTAGTAAGCGCCTAGCATAATAATATTATGTTGGAGATCATTGTCGAAGCGAAGGGTAGTGCACGAAGTCGTAGTGTAATATCATAAAGGATTAAAAAAAACTAATAAGAAAGTCAGAAAGAGAATGTGAAAACAATAGAGAAAAAATACATTGGGAATGTCGATTAATATTATATATAAAAAAAAAAAAATACTTAACACGATTATAAATCATACCTGATTCATGCATTTTGTTTTGCTTTTTTTGATTTGCTATAAAAATACTTATTGTTACTTACATTAAATACTTATTGCTTATTAATTAGCGTTATTTTTTGTATATAAAAACTTCGGTAACTCGCCCGGGAAACGTGGTAGGGCCGGTTAGGTTAGATCCTAACCTAACCTAACCGGTAACGTAAACGGTACGTTGGCCGGTTAACGGCGGTAACCGTGGTAGAGGGGTGAGTGGTGAGCGGGCACCGTGGCCGGGTGGTGAGCGTGGCCGGACTTGTGGACGACCGCGTTGAAACCGTTGTGGTCGTCGGCGGTGTACGTCACTTTGCGGGTGGTGCCGTCCGGTTCGACCAGACTGTATTCGCCCTTTACAACGTCGCCGTCTCTCTCTTCCCATTGGTCCTTAACGTCGCCGGTGTGGTAGTCTTTGACGCCGTAGTTGAAAGAGTACTTGGGCGGCGACTGAAATACAAAAAACAAACAGACATTTCAGTAAACGGTCCGAGTTGCTCGCGTCCCGCACACTCACGTAGTAGTCCACTGGTTTCGAGTAGCTCGGGTAGTCGGTGTGGTAAGTGCTGGCCGCCGAGTAAGCGGGGTAAGCCGAATAAGACGGGTAGTCGTACGACACGGCCGGCGCGGCATAGCCGCCGTGGTAAGCGGCGCGGTGAGCCAGGTAACTTCCACAGGCCACGTGCAGGAGGAGGGCGGCTAATGTGCACTGTGAACAGTATCAATCCATTAGATCGATCGATTAGGCGAAGCAGGGCAACGCCACATTGCAGCTTTCCTAAACTTAGACACTAGGAGTTTCCAAAAAATTTTCAGAAAAAAAAAACCTGTATTTTGATTCTCAAATGTTTCCTCGTTTTCAGCAACTCCATTTTTGTCCAACATTATGAGAAACCTATTAGACACTTTGACACGGTGGATGGAAGTTGCAGACGAAACCGGTTTTATAGCGGCACAAGCGACTTCTATGATTGGACTTTTGCGAACCGCCTTGATAAGGCCATATATTAAACCCATTATGAATGAATGACATAAGCCACGCCTATCAAATATTCTACGTTGAAGTAACAGCCATTTCCAAAGATATGAAATTAATTTCTTGTCATTTCAACCCTTTCAGACATGAGTTTAATTTAAATTTTAAAACAAATACATATGAAATTCGTAAAGCAAAAAGATAATAGTGGACTACCAATACAATACGACTATTGGCCACTCTTTTTGAAGGCGTTTGGATCAGTTTCTGCGCAACGTTTGGTTAGGAAGCTAACCTAACCATCAAGTCTAGTAGAACATTTAAAAGGTAAGGAAGAAAACAACGTAAAAAAATGATCTCGACTCAACGTAGGTGTCGTTCGGAAAAGGTTGGCCAATTCGAAACTGTGTCGCGGAACGGATCGTGCGTCCCGATCTAGGCACGCGATACCGACCACATGTACCTAGTTTTATAATCGATAGTGCCGGCGTATAATATTGTACCTACTCGGGTGTAGGCTGCATGTTGTGCGTAATCGGTAAAGGATCGACGAAAATGCAGCGCAGTCGTGCCCGCGTCGATCGGTCGGATTTATCGACTCGGGTGTGCGATCACGACGGACGAAAATAAATAAATAATAATTATTAAAAAAAAAAAAAAAACCAGCCGACCCGACCATTTTCACGACGACGACGCGACGACGGTTACACGATATGCGTGAAAAACGATTTCGGCCGGCGATGCGCGGTGAATCGCGGATTAAATGCGTCCAACGATAAATCATCGCGTTGCGCAATCCGTGTGCCGCACAATTAACGTTGGCTATGATTTTTTTTCCCTCAAAAATAACAGACAATAATAACGTGTGCGCGGCTAAAACGATTAGCGCGCGTAACCCGCCATCGAATAAACACACACACACCGGACAAAACGATCACGTGCCATGACGGCCAAGATAATAATAAGCAATAATAGTAGACCTATATGTTATTTATTATACGTACAGTGTGTAAAAGGCCAAAGAGTTTCTGATTAATAAGCGCTAAAGCACAAAAGTTGGCCGAGACACTTCATTTATGCATGTAAGCTCATCAAGTTGTATTATAAAATCGTATTATCAAATTGTATTATATTATACTACCCGCAAAAGAGAACCATAAATAATAGAAGCCCATAAAATCATGATTAAAAAGAAAATAACAGTTTAAAAAAAACTAAAATAGTTGTCAAAGCTTTAATTTCAACACTCCATTATTTTTTATTTTTGTATAAAACTCTAAATTGAATCGAATTTACAATAAAAAAAAAAAACATTTGACCAACATTAGTCCAGTGGATTGATTTAAACGGGACTGAGCCAATCGCACTCATTTGTTCGGGGCCCTATCTAGAGCGCTTCAGAGATAACTGACTAGTTAATTTATTTTAAAAAACCCTTTTTTTACATATTTTTAATTTAAGTTATGATTTATGAACTGCAAATAAGTCCCATCTAAGTGCCCAGTTACCGTACACTGTTGGATAGTAAAGTTTTTTTTTTATACAGGGTGATCCATCTAATGTAAGACATCCATTTTCTCGGAAAATATGAATATTTTGAGAGTTATTTTTTTCGTATACCTACTTGTAGGTATACCTTTTTTAATACTTTGAACATTTTTATTTCATCTTTTGTACGTAAAACAAACACGGACTTAGTTTTTTTCCAATTGGAGCTTATGTTTTTAATTCCATAGATATGTAGACAAAAAATGATAAAAATTTTAGTATTTGAATTTTGAATTTTTATCAATCTGTTCGTTGTCTATAACTTTGTACAGATATTACTTTTCCCAGGAATTTTTCAACTGTCCAAAAAAAAAAACAGTAGCCCATAAAATTCTTATTTATGTTTGCATTATCCAATAGGTGATAACAGCGGAAATGATACACAATAAAATGTGCCGAGATTCCCATGTTGCTGTTCTCCTCATCTACCTATTCAAACACAGTGACGGCTACTGTTTGTTTTTTTTTTGACAACCGGAGAAATAGGGCGAAATGTAACAATTTTACATACTCGTAGCAAACGGATTGATGAAAATTAAAAATTCAAACGCTAAATTTGTTTAAACATATTTGTCTGCAAATGGAGTTAAAAAAATGGGTTTCCATTTGAGAAAACAAAGTCTTTAATTGTTTGACGTAAAAATTATGCATTGTAAAAAATGTCTAAGTATTGGAAAAATATAGTAAAATGTGTACCTAAAGTAGGTATAGGAAAAAATGTGTATGAAGTAGAGTCAAGGTGTGATATAACAAAGATTGAACTTACCTGTAAGAACGCCATTTTCGTGTGATTCGTGAAGTTTGCGCGGTATAACACTATGTTGAGACAAAGTTGGAACACTCGGTCGGCAAACTTGTTCTGTGATAATGTGTATATGTGTGTGTGTGTGACGGTACACCTGGAACACTGTCGGGATCGGTATGACCTGTACGACGGGCCGTCCGGTGCATTTATACCAAAGGGCGAAAGCGGCGCTCCCCACACTGGCCGGCGCCTCATTGGCCGGCCGGCCATCCGCGTGCGTCCGCGGTCATTCCGGGCGCATTGTTGTTTCTTTGAAAACCATTGCGGCTACGTTCGCCCACAATAATCGGTGTTGTTATACCCATATCTATGTACGTTTACTTGTAATTATTTTGGTTTTTTTTTTATTTTATTGTCAGATCAAAATCCAATTTTAAGCCTTGGACTAAATACTTGGACGGTGCAACGACAAACGGTCCCACCGTACCGAGTCCTCGGCGCACGTGCTCACCTCCAGTATCCTTCTGTTAGTCCTAGCCAAAATCGAGACAACAATACCGAGTGATTAATCCATTAATTCATTAATTAATAATTATTGATAAAATACTCGTTTTCTCTTAAAATAATTGCAATTTTGTAGGTTTTCTTTTTGGAGTTCTTTGGACTTCTTTTAGTTTATGTTGTTTTACAATAAAAACATCATTCAAATATTGACATCTTTTTAATTTTTCCAGAGCTCAATCGACTTTAAACGGTAACGTAAATAATTAACTTTTAAAACAAGGTAAAAAAAAAATTGCTGGAAATGTCGACTGACCGAAAACCATTTTCGGATAGTTAATTTTAAAGTTACTAAGCTTGAATTTAGAAAGGGAAGTGGAGTGATGCGTGCAGATATAACACAACAGACGTGATTCTTTATAAGTCTATTAATGTGTTTACACAAAACGATTAAAACTAAGTTTATGTAATGTGCATTCAACTTATCTATTATTACACATGCAGTGTACATTTTTATGGTAAAATTGTTAAAATTATTTAAACGAAAAATGTCTAATTAAAATATGAATTTGACCCTTTTTTTTGGAGTTCATAATACTTATTACTTTTAACACAATCTGGTAAAAATAGCATATAGTATATTTGTTGTATACAGTTGCACTGTTCTATCTTAATTGCGTTAATACTGATAACAATTTGTTAAAAATGTGTCCATTATAATGAAGTCCTCATTAAAAAAAAAATAATAATAATAACAATACCAACCCTCTAGTCCAAATATTACTATTCAGAATTGTAACTTCTTCTTCAAACTTAAATTATTTACTCCCCATTACAAGAATAAAGCTTATAAACATTTTTAACTAAATATTTAAACAAATTAATTAACCGTTTAATTTAAGTCACAATATATAATTTTTTGGTATGGCAAAATGAGTGTATTTATTTATTTAATAACATATTATTTAACGTTAAGACCCGGAGTATTATTACTTATAAGTTTTTCATAGTAAAAACAAATATGTTTGCTCCAGACTACCTTAGGTGAATAAACTATACTATACTAAGCTAGTATAGTAGCAGTAATATGTAAGCAGAAAAATATTAAGAGACAAATGGTCAAACATACTAAATAACACACTTTCAAGCGCATACAGCTGTTTCGCCTGGAAGTTTTTATCTTCATTTCTTTGGTATGTTTAAGTTTTTGGAAGAACCAAACCTGTTTTTTTCTTATATTTGTTAGTTTTAACGTACGAATAAAAAAAAAATACTTCTATACTATTAAGGTTTAACATTAATAAAGCAAAATCAATTATGCAATCAATTAGGCGAGTACGCTGTCTAATTAATTTACCAGACCACTTATAAGTCACATAACTCTGCTTTATTCCGTCATGAAATTACACAACTGGTATATTATATTTTATTTTTGTAAAACAAACCTTGGTAACACGTCTAATTGAACCAAATGCTCGACTAAACTGGATTTTTAAAAGTGTCATCCGAAAATCTGGTATGGTATGAAACTTCATACAACATGTTGTCTAATTGGTAAGGTGATATGTTATTTTGGAAATTTGACAAACATTTTTAATTATGATTTATTCAAAAAAATCGTGCTAATCTTGAACTAATTTAAAGGTTTATTTTTTTTAAGTTTAATGAGTTGTTTTTGCACAATTCCTGTATGAATATTGAAGTACAAATCATCAGTATTGCATTGACAATTTCTTCTCAAATTCGGGTTTGAGGTATTGTGGTTGAGATAGGCAATTCATATACTTTAACGTGTCGGTCTGTTAAAACTGCATGACCAATCAGGTAATAGAAGTGCACCGTGTATTGTCAATGAATTATCTACTCGATTATCTACTGTGATTAAATCTTCAAAAGTATGGTAAAGGTTATCCTGGCGGTGTCCTCGATAATCTTGAAGTCAATAGGCAATTTTCTCGCCGACCGTTTCAATGGGAAAATCGTCTTTCAGTCTTCATATAATGTAATATTTTGTTATATTATAATGCATCCAAGGTATTAAGTGTATTATTCTACACGGTTGTGGGCTCGTATGGAAAACAAAATATTGAATATCTATAACCAATCGAAGGGCACTGTAAATGGGTTTCGAAAGGATTTTTAACGCGAAGCGCAGAACGCTAAACATAATAATACAACAATAATAATGTTACATTTGACATCAACGCGCGTTTAGTCACACGTAATAAGAACGACCTAAGATATCCCATGATGTAGTTCTTTCTGGCGATACCTATTTGCTTGTAAACTAATGTAAAATCCGCCAAATCTCGTTAAGTTGCCGACAAAACCCACAAATTGTTTTAAACATAATTTTGTTAAAATTGCTGGTTTTTATGACCCATTAAAACATTGTTGTATTACATGATGTATTCTAATTTACTATTATCATCAAATACTAAATTAGTATTGTCCTAATTTTTAAATATAATATTCCCACGCCTTCAATAAGATGTAATATTTTTCTCAGGTATTTTGTTTTACACCTGCGAGTGCAGTTCATTTTTTTACGACCAATTATAATAACCCAAATCGCACAGATGTAAAAAAATATATATATATATATATATATATTTAACCTTGAAATGAAAATAATCAAATTACACTGAGTTCGCTTGGACGCCGAAGTCAAGAAAGTATTTTATTTTTTTATAATGTCTTTGTCGATTAATCAGTACTAAAATATTTTTTATCTAAATTGAATTGCACATAAATAACTAAGGATTATTATTATACCGATGTAAGAACATTATAAAGTGCCTTAAAGTATTTAAAAAAAATTGTATTGAACTGTTTAATAATAACAGCAGAATTAAAAAAAAAAGGCTTTTCCAAATAAAATTAAAAAAATTCTAGTTTTAAATTTTTGTATGATTTCACTTTTACAGATTAGAAAAATATATTTTATTTAAAATTAATAATTGTACATAGACTACAACAGAAACTATGAGACCGCATAATATCGCATTACTTTTCAAACAAATCAACTATCAAATTGTCTACTTCAACCAAAGCTGTTTTGTGGGGCTGTACTTGAGTGTTCATTTTTTGTCTCACACATTACTAGTAGTCGTTAGATGTACAAAAATGAGTATTTTTTTCTGATATTTAATAAGTTAACCGCGTGGTGTGATGAAGCACGATAATTATTACTTCCTCTTTCTCTGGACATACTTTACAAGTCAGTAAACAGTAAACACAATGTAACTCAGACATACTTGTTATAATATGACATATTATATTAGCATACAAAGTACTTGGGATACCGCACGCTAATTGCATACGAGTGCATTGCAAAACTTGTCAATGGGCGATGCACCGTTCAACATGATTATATTATATCATTGCATTCTTTCTGTCAACCGTGTCCGTAGGAACGCATCTACTTTGCTCGGTTTACCGTGTCACTCTACAATTACCGTCAAACGTACCGTAACCGTGTTTGTACCCGTCTATTATCAATTATATTTATTATAATAATAATGTTCAGCCGCATATTTATACGCCTACACATCTGTACTTTAGTAGAACCTGACTTCTATTTGATTACTTATGTGGTGATCAAATTTCGCGGTCGGATTGGTAACAATACAAAATTACTCCAGTTGTAAGTTGCAACTTAAATATAGGTATTACCACACAATATGTATAATTTTTACTCTTAAAAAATGTAACATAATAACTTCATGCGACAACAGATGCAATAATTGTCCAGTGTATTTTTTATGGCGAAAGAGCTCGTTTCTTTTTTGCTAAACGGTTCTTGAACAAAGGAGATAATACAAAAAAAAAAAAAAAAAAATGATTAAAAATACAATCTATTTCTATAGTATGACATGGCCCAGGTCTTAACTTTGAATACTACGAAAACCTAAAATAAATGTATTAAATTTAGACAAAAATTAGATTTATTATTTATTAGCGTCAAGCTAATATTTTATTACTTTTGCTTTTTACTCGAGGCTACTCGTGTCTTAAAATATTATAGGGCTGTTTAACCTAATTTGACATCAAACATAATATTATAGAATAGAACTAACTAACCAGAACACAATTATTTATGTTTTTTTATTTTAACGAGTTTATCTAGCCCATTGACGGCTGACGCAACTTAATATAATTGTACAGTGGCTTATTTGTTTTGAAACAAAACAAGATTATTTAAGTCACGCGACAGAGAATAGTCAAATAGTGTACAATTATAACTCATCTCATACAGGGTGATTTTTTTGTAAAGTGATCCACTAAATATCTTAAAGGGTTTAATCGATTAATGCATAACTTGTGGTGCTGAGCACATCTTTAAAGAATTGTCTTATTTTTTGAGATTTTAGTGAAACAAAAATATGTATTCTACAACAAATATAGCTTTGCTTTACTATCGTTTTTCATTCTTTTGTCATAAAGGTTAAGGTCGATAGAAATTAGCCGTTATGAAACCTCACACACGTTCGTCGCAGTATTTTCCTTTTATTTTTTTTACTTTTATGGAACGTTGTCCGATTTCCATTCCCAAAGACGTTTCGCTCTAATAATTACTCTGCTCTGCACACACATTCACAGTGCTTGCTACAAACGAGTAATGTGCACAGCACACGACGTTCGTTTCGTTATAATATTTCCTGCGCT